TCTGGTTTAATGCCCATGGGCTAAAAATTTGTATCAGATGTAAAAAATCTGATATAAAATCAGTTATTTTGACATTAAATAGGTTGGGCTGATGCAATATCTGTTATGATAGATATAACATGAATCTAGGTAGATATAATATCACTCCTGATAGATATAATACCAGTTTTGCCTGATCTAAAATCAGATTTTTTCATCTGATGTAATGCCAGATGGGGGAATCTGATACAATCACATTTGCAGTGAATATCAGAAGGAAAATTTGGTTGAAGGAAGGTAGGGCCACTGACACAGTTTCAGAAATATACTGTGGACTTGGGAAGATTGTATGTATTTTCCAGATTTTTCAAGAAGAAATTCTGCTTGAATAACTGGTAAATATACAATTGAAATAAATTGAAGAGTCCTGATTGATGATGCAGTACACAAAGATTGACTTGAATAGAGGAATCAGCAATGGAAACATGGTGCACATACACAACAGCATGCTGAGGAGGTACTATACTTGGCTATTTAGCACTCATGCAAAGTGCAGTTTTGAGGAATACTTACTCCTTCTCAGTCTGAAAGTACATGAATAAAACCTTCCTAGTTTTTAACACTCCCTTCAAGCTGTTGGACATATCCATCATTTCCCTGGGATAGGATCATCTGAGTATAGGGTGTGTTTTTATACCACTGTCAAAATGATTATTGATTGATGAAAAATTTACCAGCTACATAAGGATAGACAATAACCAAGGGCATGATCCAGTATGAAAATGGGGGCATCCACATTTTCTTTGAGATTACCAGTAAAAAGTCTTGTAGAGAAAGTCCATACTGTAACAAGTTCCCATAGAGAATCCTTACTTGGCCAGCTATGGCACCTCATACCCATTCACCAAGGGCAAAACTCATTTCCCAATCTGTTAATGGAAGTGCACCAGCTTTTCAAGTATCTATGTATCTTTTTTGCCAAAATGGCACATAAAATACAAGCTTTCCAAGTAGGTATCCCATTTCCCATGGTTTTGAAGAACATAATCATATCTTTCCCATTGTGTATCTTATTTTCTATGTTGTCACAAGCTGTACCTGATACCTGATTTTTGAACTGAAATTTGCAGAATGAATCCAAATCATGATTCTACTTCCAAAGTTGGAGTGCAGACAACCCAGAAGAGGCACTGCTCAAATTTTAATCTACCAATCACCTGGAGATGTCTATACATGGTCCCAGAGAATTAAGCTGTTTTGTGATCAGGTTTGACCATTCACTTGCTCATGCAAGGAACCCCTGTTAGACTCAAAGATTTAATTTAAATTACCAAAATATTGTTTGGGGGTGAGAGCTTAGGATACTTCAATTTATACCCTCAAATGAATTTTTGGATTTAGAAACTGAAATTCTATGTACAGTGGGTGGACCATTATTTTTGGCTGCTTGTTTTGGATTCCAGAGCTTCAAAGCACAAACTTGAAGTCACAAGAATTGGTGAAGTGGTGCACAATAGTTCCCAAAGAATGAATATGAAGAAATAAAACCAAAAAACAAAGTTTCAAAATTTGTGAAAAATAAAAAATAAAATTTATTTTTCTCAAAAGCTTTGAAAATCATTTTGGGGGATTGAAAGTGCTGAGAGAAAGGAAGATTGGGATATTAGAAAAATGATTATGAATGAAAATTTTGGAAAAATTGCTTTCCAGATGGCTTCAAAGAGCTGTTGAGTGGGGCATTCACCAGCCCACATTGCAGCAAAGCACTAGAATTTACTGTTTTGGCTCCAATCTGGACAACCAACCTGGCCAAACCTTTTTTGGTTCCAATTTTTTTCATTTATAATCATTCTTCCCATGTTCCCCTCTTTCTTTCTCTCAGCACTCCCACTCCCCCAAAATGAATATCAAAGCTTTTGAAAAAATGAGTTTTATTTTTTATTTTTCACAAATTTTGAAACTTTACTTTTTGTTTTTATTTTTTCATATTCATTTTCTGGGAACTATTTTGCACCACCTGAACAATTCTCATAACTTCAAGTCTGTTTTTCGGAGCTCTGGGGTCCAAAACAGGCAGCCAAAAATAACGGTCCACCCACTGTACAGCCCCTTGACAGAAAAAATGGAACCCTTTGATTGGAGTCTAGAGGGCAAACCTAAGGGTGGGCCCCGGCCCCGACTCAGTCGGGTATACCCGGGCTATCCGACCCGGTCCCTCGGAGAGCGGGAGGAGTTTCAGTAACTTTTACCCAATCGAGTACCTCGGGTACAACAGTTGGGAGGACTCTCAAAAACGGTCGGAGACCGAGCTCTATTGCTAAGGAGGAGGGGTCTTCTGGAGGCTTGGAGAGTTGTGTAAATGAGTGAATATTTGTTACTTGTATGAAAAAAATAACCAAAAAAATAACAAGGGTTTTTTTGGATCAAACAGAGGACAAGGAAAAATAAGTGTATCGGAAGTGACTAGTGTATGTAGCAATGGTTAAGAGGCATCGTGAGCCTCAAGATCTTCAATTTCGTATGTTGTCGGGTCTAGAGTTCCGATCTTTCGATACCAGTCCTTCAGGCAAAGGAGGTGCTCGATTGTTTTTGGCTGGAGACTACCACGTTGAGGACCGATAACCGATTTCGATCTGGAAAATACTCGCTCGCAAGGAGCGCTGGTGGCAGGAATGGAAAGATAGCATCTTGCCATTGCCAACAGAGATGGATAGACCGAACTTTTCTTTCTCCAGTAGTCCAAAACTACAGTATTTTGTGGCTCATTGGACTCTCGTAAATAGTCCCAGATTTCAGTGTCCAAGTCATTTGCTTTCCGTTCTGCACCAAAGATGTCCGCAAGAATGGAACACTGCTGCTTATTTGATTGAGGTGCGGTTGGATTGCATCTGGCAGGACTGCGATCAAAGTGGCGGGCTGTAACTTTAAAATTTGAGAGAGCAAGTGCAGGATCGAAGGTAGCTAAAATTTCCGATTGAATAAAACTTGAGTTTTTTTCGATATATACCATCTTGATGCGTGGATCGAGTATCATTGCACAAATCGGTGGTTCCTTCTCTAGAGCAGATTTCAGATATTTTTTCAGTTTTTCAACCATCTTTGATGCAGCTGGCAGCAGCTGATGAGCATCATAAGTACCTCGGACTAGGGTGATTTGCTTCATCAAAGCTATGTAGACCGGAAGTGACAAGTTGAGGGTTGGGTATTGTGAGGAGCAAAGAAATTTAGTCGCATCGTTGAGGGGTTCCAGGAACTTCATCAGCTGATCGACTTTATCCCACTCAGCTGACGAGAGTGCAAATTTTGTTGTGTCGGAGCGCTGGCAGAATGAGTTGTAGATGTCTTTGAGTTCCAAAGCACGCTTAAGCATATCATAGGTCGAGTTCCATCGTGTCTTGACGTCAACTATAAGAAATTTCTCTTCTTTTTCGGTATCTATTTTTGGATCTTTGGCATAACCTGTTGAAATAGACACCCTGGAGACAATGTAGTTGGAAAGGATTTGTGTCATTTCACTGAGAGAAAGAGAAAAAGAGGAAAAGAAGAAAGACTCACCTGGAGACAATGTAGTTGGAAAGGATGAAGAAAAAGAGATCCTTTCCAACTCAGTTGTCTCCAGTATAAGAGAGAAATGAAAACACAATGAATGTCACAAAGTGTGACATGTGAGAAATGAAAAAGAGGAAGAAGCACGCAAAAGTAGCGCTATGTAAAGTACACTACATAGATAGCTCAACACCCCCCCTTGCTGATGACGAGTTTTTAAAGAGAACAGAAAAGTAGAGAAGGAGATAAGCAGAAGAGATAGAGAAAAAAATTTAAACTAATCCAAACATAAGACGATGTTTTTCCAAGAGAACTCGAGAAAGAGGCTTCGTGAGCATGTCGGCCAACATGTCGTGTGTTGATACATGAACAATTTGGAAAATGTCGTCCTTAACACAGTCCCGAACAAAATGATACCGAGCATCAATGTGCTTGGTGCGAGAGTGGTGTTCAGGATTGTTGGCCAGAGCCTCTGCCCCTTCATTGTCAACATGCAGAGGAAGCGCTGAACGAGGACGAATGGACAGTTCGGTGAGAATGTTTCGCAACCATAAGCCTTCCTTGCAGGAATCAGCCAGAGCTTTGTATTCTGCCTCAGTGCTTGAAAGAGAGACTGTAGCTTGCTTGCGGGATTTCCACGAAATAGCACCATCACCAAAACGGTACGTGTATGCTGAGGTCGACCTTCTGTCTTGACGATCCTCAGCCCAGTCTGCATCAGAGTAGCCGGCGCAGGTGAGTGGACCACCTAGTCGTAGACGTAACGCTTTTGTGGATGCCAGATAGTGCAAAATCCGTACGGCAGCAGACCAGTGTCCAGCAGAAGGATCACGAAGGAATTGAGAAAGCTTGTTCACGGCAAAAGCTACATCAGGACGTGTACACTGAGCAATCCACAGAAGAGAACCAATAAGCTGTGAGTAGGGACCGGGAGAGCTATCCTCACCAGGACCACGTTTAAGGAGATCTTTGAAAGTTGAAGACGTGGGTGTCTTGGTTGATGTGTGTTCACCGTCCAGAAAGCGGGATACCATGTCGTCAATATAATGGGATTGAGACATATAGAGTAGACAATTGTCCAAGTCACGAGAGATTTTGATTGAAAGAAAGTGATGGAGATCTTCATCGGCGCCAATTTTGAATTTGTTGCCAAGTTTGGAGATGATAGAGTCGACAAAGGGAGGTTCTCCGACAACCGCCAAGTCATCAACATGAACAGTCAATGCACCCATAAGTTTTCCATCGAGAACTTTGAAATACAATGTGGGATCGTATTTCGATTGAGATAAGCTGGAGTCGAGAAGAGCTAGATGAAGTTCTTGATTCCATTGACGTGGGGCTTGTTTGAGACCGTAGATTGAGCGACGGACTTCACAGACAAAGTCAGGGTGAGCAGGATCTTCAAAACCTGGAGGTTGCTCCATGAAGATTGGCTGATCAAGATGGCCGTTCAGAAAAGCCGTCTTGAAGTCCACTTGCCGACCTTGGAAATGGTGCCAGGCTTTGATGCCAATCAGGTACTTCTTTAGTGATTGTGACGAGATTTTGTGATGATTAGTTGTGTAAGCGTTTCTTCCTGCCCACATGACAAAACCTTCAATTTCTGCTGCAGATAGTGGTAGTGTGAAATGTCCACCTGTGCCGCTCGATCGATAAGTACAAAACTTCTTTACGGCGCTGTTGTAACTAAGCAATGTGCTCCAACTCCAAGCCGAGATAATATGTAACGACGCCGGAGACGGCGATGTCTCTTCTGACCCGTTCCGCAGGAAATGTGAGACCTTACTGAAATTTGGTGGAATTGAAAGTAACATTGGTAATTATTGATTAGAAATGTGTATAGGTCCGGTCTAAAAAGGGATGGAATCTAAGTACAATAAAATTGAGGATGAACCTGAAAGAACGATATTCTATGGGATTCTTTATAGTCGACCACCAGAAAGAACTAACAATCAAACGCTACGCGTGGAACAAAAATGGGATCAGGTCAATTGGGATCGTAAGCCACACCCTTGTTTCCTTGATGTGCGGGCTTTGAATCCCTCTTGAAAGAGCGTCCGCCCTGTTTTCTTTTGAGATGACCCTTTTGGGGGTACAGTCCACTTGATGTTCGATGAGGAAAGCCTGTATTATTTTCCACTCCTCGTTGACGAAGGCGTCTTTCGATTTCTTTGATGTGAGAGTTGCCTCGGTTACCGTGTTGTCTGTCCAGACAATGTAATTGGAGCCTTGCGCCACCAAACCCAGCTCCAATAACATCAGCACGCCTAGCCTAATCGCCACCGTTTCAAGCCAAGCTATCCCTCTAGCGGGGACACTGTCTCTCCAAGTCTCTTTTAGCCTGAATTGGCTCCATCGGTTACCTATCAGAACCCCTATCCCGAAACTCGTGGAAGCGTCTCCCACCCAGTTCACCTCTACCGGTTTGTTGGAGTGAACTAATCGCGCGTTTTTGAAACTTGATAGCGTTTCCAACCAGAATTTCAGGTCTGATACTACGTCTTCCGGGACCGTTCGTGTGGCAAAAGGTTTCTTCCATTCATTCATCCAGCGGTAAATTCCACGTATGTAAGCTCTCAATTGCGGCAGCAGGTATGAGACATGAGTTAAACGTCCTGCGAGTACTTCAGCGTCATTGAATTTGAATTCGGCTCGAGGTACTAGGAATTCTTCAATCTGTTTCTTCCGGAGATCCAGCTTGTTTGTTGGTAATCTTACAGTTGAATCGCGACCGTTCCAAACGAATCCTATAAATTTTTGTTCATCGCTGAAATCGGCACATTTTTCTTCGTTTGTTTGTACTCCTAAAGCTAAGGACCGTTTTACAACGTCTTTGATACCAAAAGTAGCTGTAGGTCGCTTTATGAAGAGGTTGTCATCAACCCACCTAAAAATTCGGGTTACATCAAATTCGTAACTCATCACCTTTTTCCATGCATCCGCTGGAATACCAAAGGACCCGCAGCCGGCTACACCGCCGAAAGTGATTCTAGTATCAATGTAGAGACCCCCTTCGAGATCTTTTACCATTAGAAAAGGCCATTGATCCATCTTTGTGGGGATTTGCCTATATGCCTTTTCCCAATCAAACAGGGCCAATTCGAAAGGACCTGAGTTTGATCTGAAAAAATTTGCGACTACGTTGAAGTCGTCCCATGTCGTTTCAAAATCCGACTTGTTCACAAAAGAGTTAACTGAAGGGATCGTTAAATCTTTTTTCGGGAAGGATAAATTGTTTATAGGCCTCATCTTGCCGTCAGCGTTTACGATTGATCCTAAAGGGCTAGTTCTGAAAAAGCTGTAGTGTCTGGCCACCTCTATATGTGTAAAAGGACCAAACATTCTCTTCGCCGCCACCTCCTGGACAATTGATCCTTGGATTTTATCCTTAGCTAAAACCGCTGAGCTATGATTCTCTGGTGTGTACCACCTCAGGTCTTTCGATGTGATGTCTCAGCGTTTCGATCTTTCACTATTTTTGTTTCATCCTTCCATTGGTTTCGACGTTGTGGTGTAGCTCGGGTAAAGATTGTAAGGCCGTGGATTCGTGAAACTACAGTCTGCAGGGCAACGTTAATCCCATCGGGTGGTGAGGTGAGATGACTTATCCTCATCGGATTTGAATTGCTGTCCATCTGATCAAGAGTGACTTCAGACTCGAGCTCTTCAGGACAAAATACAAAGGCTTGCAGGCCATCTTTTGCAGCAAGATTATACATGAGCCATGCATCCCAGCAGATGCTCATCTGCAAAGAAC